CCAAGCCATGAATGAGATAGCAACGACAACTTGGGATCGAAATTACTAATTGAATGGAAAATGATGTCGATGGCACTGTGTTATGCTCCTCTCTGATTTTTTTTTGGCAACCAATGTATTAGATTTAAAAGATCATATTGGAATTGAGCTAACATGGGAACAAACGATTATAAATAAATTAGATTATCCAATTCTTCCAACGTCAAGAAATTAGTAGACTTTTGGTTTGGGTATTAGAAATTAGGGAAAATTCCTTATCAGTAACCTGTATTTTGGTTTGCGTGATAATTTGGTTCCCAAACTTTAAAATGCAATAATTCAGTACTCAAATTTTTGAAATGTGACAATCTAGTATCCGAACTTTTAAAATGTGACAATTCAGTACCTGTCGTTAATCAGCCGTTAAGTGACATTTGAAAAGTCAAAAATGCCCTAAGAATGCCATCTAATTCTCTTTATCAACTATCCAAACATTGACAATAAAATGAACAGTCCCAAATTTTAGATTCTCCTAAACAATCACCAACTTTTTTTATTAGAAGAGGCTACGTTTTGGGACTGTTCAGTTTTTTGTCAACATTTGGATGGTTAAAGAGAATTAAATGACATTTGAATGGCATTTTTGACTTTTCAAATGACAATAATAAATTAATGGACTGGTTAATAACAGGTACTGGATTGTCACATTTTAAAAATTTGGGTACTAATTGTCACATTTTGAAAGTTCGAGTACTGGATTGTCGCATTTTAAAATTTGGAGACCAAATTGTCACTCGAGCCAAAGTACAAGGTACTGACCAAGAATTTTCCCTAAAATTAATATCCAAATATTGTGACATAAACTTTTGATGGTTAAAATAAGGAAATGGACCTCCTAGTTAACTTCTTTGGTATAGAAGCACAACATTGACACCATCCATTACTAGATGGAACCGAGGTAATTTGAAAATCTATCGTTGTGGATTTACTAGCTTTGCTCGGAAGCTTCGAAATGAGCCATGTTGCAATCATGTTGTGAACAGGGAGAAGATAACTCAAGAGCAACATTCTCGTCGCAATCTCAAAAGGAGAGCAAGCAGAGATTTGAGAATGTTGGATTTCGAGCTACAACAGCTGACGATTCTCTTGAGTTCATTGTTCTCCAAAGTGTTCACAAAAGAGACGAATTTTGAGCAACAACGACAACCATTTTCAATCTTTCGCTATGGATTCAATAACATATTTACTGAATTCTAAAACCTCTGCAACTCCATGCTCCTCTTTGTTTGAATCGGATATTTAATGATAAAAAGTAACAACTCCATTCACATTTTGGTCAAGTCCGAATGAAAATGCAAATAGGAGGAATTTTTCCAGATTGGATTGTGTTTAGCGGCGATTTGTTGCAACAGTGGGCATAAGGCAGTGGTTCAGTGGTGACACAAGATAAATAGGGGTTGCGGAGAGACGAAACCGCAAATAAGAACCCCCTCTGCAACTCAATACCAGGAGCACCGACCCTTGAGTACCAGAGTTTTGTTGGCTCTAAGATGAGGAGATCCAGGGATATGTTGGCTCGAAGATGAGGAGCCCATTATTCCACCAATCTTTGTGCAACTAGGTTCAGATCTTAGGGTTCTAGCATTTTAGCTTGTGGTCTCTCTATCTATTCTCTTTAACTCTATTCTAAGCGAGAGTGAAGCAGAGCACAACCACCTCCACTCTCTCTACAAGTAGCATCTATCAGTTGATCATCGACAAAGTTACTAATATCTAGCAAGATCCCTAAAGGACATGGAGCTTTGCAACATGTTGTCGTGTGGTCTCCATTCATTTCCGTCATTGATGCTTCTTCTACTACTGTTATCAATGGCCACCAGGGGACGCAGATACAGTTCAATGGGCCCAGTCTCCGCTACTTTCGGTGACGATAGGTTCTATGCTATTGATACTAGTGACAAACGGGAGATCATTTGCTGGGTGAAGAATTGTTCTTTGTCATCGTCCACCTCGTCGCCTTTTAGTGGTCTTCCTCCGATGGTTGTTATCATAGGGAGAGAGGGAGAAGGTTTCATGTGTAGCCTTGTAGCGAATACTAGAGGCGTCAATTGGACTAGATTTGGTCTAACCCGATCCAGTCTTACAAATTGACTGGACTCTAGTCTAAATCCAATACAAACCAAATTCAATAAAAACCATTAAAATGTAAATAGACTATATTGGATCCAATCCAAATCAAATGAAATATCAAAAGTTATATATAAAACAGAGCATATAAAAAATTACAAAAAGATATTAAAATAAAGAAAATCTAAAATTTACAAAAATATACCCTTTTGGCATTAAAAAAACACTTTTGTAAATTACTTTTATAAAAGTACATTCATAGAAGTGTCTTTACAAAAGTGGTTTCATAAAAGTACTTTATAAATATACTTTCATAAAAGTGCTTTTATAAAAGTGCTTTCACAAAAGTGCTTTTCTAAAAGTGCTTCCATAAAAGTGCTTTCATAAAAGTGCTTTTATAAAAGTATTTCCATAAAATTACTTTTATAAAAGTACTTCCATAAAAGTGTTTTCATAAAAGTACTTCCATAAAAGTTCTTTTGTAAAACTGATTTCATAAAGTGCTTTTGTATAAAAATGCTTTTATTACAATGCTTTCGTAAAAGTGCTTTTATAAATCTACTTTTGTAAAAGTATTTTTGTGAAAGTACTTTTACAAAAGTGATTTTATGCCAGCTTCAATTTTAATCAGTTTCAAATTGGACAAGGGTTTGGCCTCATGATCGATTATTGAAAATTTGGTTTAGGTCCAATTCAGACCAATAAGGTTATGGACCAATTTATTTTGGATTGACCTAATCCAATAATTATAATGGACTATCCAAATCGAACTTGATAAGGTTTGGATCGGATTAGATCCAATCTGAAACCGGTTGATTGGCACCCCTAGCAAATATCTCTTATCCCTATTGTTGGAACAATGTTAGATTAGGTTTGGATCTCATCCCTCTTGGTAAGGGTAATATTGGGTTTTAAAAAAATTATATGTCATGTGGTTGTCACATGTAAATGGATTGTGATGAAATGCTAATGGCAAGGGAAGATTTAGTCAAATTTTATAAAACTTAGGGATACTTTAAGTCAATTTCCAAACAATAGGAAGTCAATTTCCTAAACCTTATGGATAGTTTAAGAAAATTGCCCTTAAAACAATAATGATCTGTATGATTTATCATATTTATTGCTTTTATATCAAAAGGTTGGCTATAATGCATATTTTTGCCTTGTTCGAATTTCATGTAATTATACCAAGCCCGTGTTCGGTTTATTAGAAAACAAGAGAGAGAAACGTTTTTTCCCTCTCAATTGATAAACAAAAAACTTGAGGGAAAATTTTTAAAAGTCTTTATTTCTTATCTCCTATCAAACCAAAATATAACATTAATATGCCATATCTTGGGCATCATAGGCCATCAATGTTTTGCTTTCTTATTTTCTATTTAGATTTCATTTCAAATTGCATGTACCAGCCTTTTCTCACATGAGAGCCTCTAACCGTAGAACTTGGATTTAGTCCTCACAACCTTTTTTTTTGAGCCTAGATTTCTTACTAACTTTTCCTACCCACTCTCTACCCGCAATGAATCGGAGTCACACATCTCTCAGTTCCTAATAGAGATGTGTGGCTCCAATTCATGGCGGGTAGAAAAAGTGAGTAAAAAATCCGGAGTGCTTTTTTTTAGTCATGCATTGGAAACATCTCTGTTATTGTATGTTTTTATACATGGGTAGATATTGTCAATGCACAACTGCTAAAATATTATGAAAACAATCTTGTAGGGACCAAATATTATGAAAACAATCAGACCTAACCCTTGTAGCTACAGGATTTGATCTCAAGTGATGAGTTTCCTAGGGAAATCCAAATCCCCAAAATTTTTTAATTAATACTATTTTTTGAATATATATATGGTAGGATGGGGAGGAGGATCCCTATTAATCCTTATTCTCATCCCCACCCCATCCCATCCTTGGTACCCTTCGAGAAAACTGCCATTCCTAATTAAGAATGTATCTTTTATACTTTTTCTTCATATTTTTCATTTTTCCTTTTATTTTTCTTTCCCCTACAATGCATGACCAGTTCTCATCACTTGCTTCCAATTTTCATTATTCTTCTTATTTTTTTCTCTTCCACTCAAAATGTTACCTCTCCTTGTGCTTCTCTCTAGGGATGGTAATTTTTTTCATCTCGGCAGTACTCGACTTTCCCAACCCGATGGGGTCGGGGATGGAGATAATTTTGGTAAGGCAGAGATGGGGATCCCATAACGATTAATAGAAATCTCCCATCAGGGTCAAAGTTGGGGATGGGGATTGAGGTCTCTGCCTCGTGACGGGATCTGCTCCTCACAAATGGTTGCCTTATAGGCACATCCACCGTGCATTGGGAACATCTCCCGTGAATAATAACAAATAAGTGCGAGAGATGTTCCCAATGTATGATAAGATGTGTGTGTGAGGCGGCGCCAGGTGTGAAAAGCAAATCCGGTCTCCCCTACCTCACCCCAACACCGATTATATATATATATTAAAAGTTATTTATATTAAATATATTATTTATATCAAAATATATTTAAAACATTATTTATAATTTATAATTTTATTTTTCTTATCTAAAAACGTTCGGGATCCGAGACGAGAACGGATTCTTATCTAAAATTTTATTTATAATTTAAAAACGTTCGTGGCCTTATCTTGATGCAACTGATTTTAATTCTGTTACGCCACGTGCCTTCATATCACGTACGGAGGTTTGTAACTTGTAAGGGACTCCACTACAAAGTAACTCGTCATCATAGCGGGTGTTGACTTGCAGAGATGACTGGAGCCGATTCGAGAATGAGATCGCTAGTCGCTACTCGCTAGGGGGAGGTAAGGGGTGTTTTTGGGTATATCAAGAGAAATATGAGGATAGTTTAGTCACGAGGAAAACCATAAATATGTGGTAAAGGATGGAAGCGCTCAAACATACACAGATACAGCCGGGGAAGAAAAGATATTCAAGATTGGAGGAAAGGGGGAAAGGGGGAAAGGATTTGGCGTATTGAAAAAGGAATGTGTGGAAGGAAACCTCAGCGAACAATCCATCCATGAATGATCGAATCTAAGTCCAGTGACAAGAAAAGAAGAAGAAGAAGACAGCGTTGTTTCTTATATCAGTAGCCGCGCCGCTTTCAGGATTTGAAGATTCTCGACTAGTTTCTTTTGGGATTTTCTTTTCCCTTTTTTCTCTACTTCTCTCGGCAGAAGAAGTAAATTGCAGGTTTCATCTCCATAGGTTTCGTTCGCCTCCGCGTTTTTCATACGATCCAGAAGATCGATTTCAGGTATTCAAACCCTAGCTCTTGATTTACATGTTTTTTTGGTTGTATTTCGTCGATTGAGAAAAAAGGAGGGGATCTGTTCCCTGTTGATTGCCGATTGCACCTTGGATTACTAGTTCTGCTTGCATGAAGAGCGAAGGCTTCGATCGTTCACAGGATCTTACAGGTTTTTCCAAGTTCAGAAGAGTATATTATCAGCTCCAAGCAGTTGAAACATGTTGAAGCCAAAACAGAGCGGACAAGGGAGTAATAATAGGGTTTCGAAGAACCGACTAATAGATGCGGTGCTTTTGTTGATAGAAGCTTTCACGGTTAGGGTTTTGCCCTAGATCGGTTCGGCCTGTAGGAAATTTAGATTTCGGCGAAGGAAGCTGCAACTTGAAATGGAGCAACATAGTTTTTGTTGTTGGCACTCGCCATTCTCTATGTTGGCCTGGATTATGTCTCTTTTGCTTCGCCTGCAATCTCTGGGATCTTCCTCATGGATCTGGGATCTTCCTCATGTGCGAAGAAACGCCTTCATCCTGGATCTTCCTCATGGATCTGGGTTCCATGTGGCAGTGGCGTTTATTTTGCTTTTGCTTCGAGCATACCTTTCTAGAGTAGGCGAGCCTTCTCTATTATACAATGAACGCATAAGGATTCCTTATCTGCTTGGCGAAGGAGGTGTTAGTCGTGCTTCTTCTTGGCCTGCTTATGTGAATACCACGTAGTAAACACTCAAGGGCGCTGATTACCATATCCTAAAATAGTATTAGGCCAACAGGATCTATCATCTGCTGTTCGTCCAACTGGATCTGTGCTGACTCCATCCCCTAGTTTGTGCTAAACATAGGTTTCCTAATTATTATACTCTGTTTATCTGCAGAAGGGGGACGCTTACCGTTGCTTCATCTATGTCTTCAGAGATCTTGAGGACTTTTGGGGCTTTGACCATAGGTGCAGGTTATTGAGGTCTGGGCAAAAAAAAAAAAACTACTCATGTTTTTATCATGCATTGCTAGTAACCGAAAACAGAGTATAATCGACTTTCTTGAAGTTGCTACTTTGTTGATCTTTAACCATTGAAGAGGTTCATAAAATGATTTGGGTGCAAGCTTTTTGTTTAGATGAAGAGAAAGGTTCTTCTGTACAAGGATTGGCCTATTTATTGTCTTGGATGTTGCTGCTTGGGAGAGATTATTTGACTTGTTTTGAACTACCCATAAAATAAACTTTGCTGCCTCCTTTTGTTAGTAGTCATATGGTGGAAATGATGTTTGATGGGTGATCCTTTGTCAAGTTTCAATTTTGGGTGTTAATCTCAGCTGTTGAAGTGATATATTATGATATTTGTTGTCCTCTTTAGTTGGCTTTGAAGAAGCCCTAAATCTAACTTTTAGCTTTTGGCAATGTAACCAAATCACGGTGTGAATCAAGGGAGTTGCATGCAGGCCTTCAAGGCTGATAAACACGATTTGCCTCCAGGTAATGACCTCTGGAGGCATGTAGTGGCAGCCTTTTTATTAGTTTCGGGGCTAGTTAATGAAGCTGTTTACTGGATTAAATAATTGTACTTCTATGTTGTATTTCTTGTGTTTTGTCTGGTGCTTCTAATGATCTAAACCTCATACTTTATGCAGGAAACATGGTCTTTGGCTGCTTTGAATCCTGCTATGGGTATTAGGAAGTGGTCTGGTTCTTTGTTTTTTCCCAAACAGCAAGGACAATGGGAAGTCTGAATTAATGGTTGGTTTCGAGGGGTACTTGGCCTTCTTTTACTGGCTACATGTGCATATATGCATCATCCTCGTCTAAATGGATTACATGCTTGTTAACTCGCAGATTTGCTTTTGTTCTTGCACTGGGGGTCAAACCTCTTCTCTTGAGCTAAATAGGAGAACTGGAGCGGCATCCTGCAATTTCTGTGGTGGCAAACAATTAGTTGATGGGAGGAAGTCAGAATCTGGTAGCGTGCTAAGCACAGCAAGGCTGGAGCTTAAAAGTGTGGTCGATCCTGACTTGACTTGGAAGACTGTTTCAAAAGGTAACAGGAGTGCATCTAGGCGGGCTAGGAAACCTATTCTTAGAAGCTCGAAGGGAAGCACAGAATCAATTGATAAGGACATAAGGGTTGAGGACATGCCAATTTCTGAATCTGAGAAGGTTATTTTACATTCTACAAATTTTATGCTTTAATGCTTTAGCAGCGTTAGCACTGCATGCATTTTCATGGTCTTTTCACATTCTCTTTTCTATTTGGCAGCTTGGAGTAACCATTCTTGGGCGCCGCTTCAGTGACAAAGTGGAGCATGTACCGATTAAGAAAAGGAGATTTTTGTTCCGATCTCCATCACCACCCCCTCGGCCACCTTCTCCATGCCCTGATGAACCTGAGCAACTTGTAAAGAGTGAAAATGCTCCGGGACGGGAGTCTTCTTGTAGTTCAGAAGTTGGAAAGCAGGTTATGGAAGTTGGCACCGCTGATTTGGGTCAAGTTGTTGATGGTGAAGTTATTATTAATGGGAAGACCCCAGAAGAAATAAATGAAAAGCTTGGTGACAGTGAAGATTTCTCAGGTATTTCAATACTGGCAGCTGCTGCCTGTAATAACAATATAGGAGGAAGCTCTACTAATGCTGAAGAGGATTCTTCGATGCTTGAAGAAACTTCTGCATGGGAAAGGCCTTCTCAAATTGTGCTGAATTCTGCATTATGCCTGCCAAAGGAATTGCACAAGGACCATTCCACCAACTATTGTGAAACTTCAAATAAAGGAACTGCCTCACAAGAAATTACGGCCTCATTACAGACAGCCAATTCCTATAATAAGGAGAGCATATGTGGACTGAAAATGGGGGACTCTTCTACATCTGATTCTTCACCTATTTCTCAGGGCCTTCCAAGCAACAATATTGATGGAGCACAGAGAAAGGTTGGGTCTTCTTCACGTGATGATAGGTCACATTGGGACTTGAATACTGTGATGGATGCATGGGAGAAACCTTCTGATGACCACATTGTGGGTTCTGAGGAAAATGTTGTTGATAGTGTCTTCAAGGATGTTAGAGACTGTGAAAAGCTGGAAAACTTGGAAAGTTGTGATGTGCAGAGGGAGCCTGGAAGTACCAAAAATGACATTGAAAAGATGGTTCAACCTATGAATGGCAGGGTGGTTGCTGGTGTTGCAGGTGACAACATCTATAGGTTGGCGGACTCTAAAAACTTGCCCACTGGGTCTGTTGAAACAACTACTGAGGATCTTAAGCAGGATGGATGTTTTAAAACGACATGCTCTGAGGAAATGGTCATGCTATCTGAGATGCATAATACTCAACAAGAGAGCTTAGTGGACCTGGGTGAAGAAACAAAACCCTCGCATTTTCAGGAAAGTATTGGCTTCATTTCTGAATCTGTTGCTGCTCCATCTGCTAAAGTTCTGGAATTTTCTTCCCCAAATGCCTGTAGGATGGATGGTTGCATCAATATTTCTGTCTGTCCTGAAGCTGATCATAATACACCTGCACTAATGCCTGAGAAAGAAAAAGATACAACATCCAAGGCATCTTCTGGTGAGCAGACAGGAGATGAATTGGCTGCTGATGTGCAAAAACGTGAATCCCTTTACTTGAGGACCTCTCAGCTTGAGAAGCATGATGTTTTTCTCTCTGATGCAGTGACCACAGAGAAGGTTAACTGTGAGATTGATGATAGTCCAACTGAAGATTGTGTGGGTGCTGTCAAAAGTCTTGATCTGCATGATAATGGAAATGCCTCAAAGAAGATGAAAACAGATGTTAAGCAACTTGATGACAATACAAGTAAAGCGGACACCTCCTTATCTTCATATAATGGTGAGGAGTTCTCTAGTTGTAGTCCACCTGATGGAAGAAGTATACCGGAAGTTTCTGCTGATACAAAGGTTCAGGATGGGGAGGATTTTGTTTCTGATACTAAAAAAGGTAGTTCTCCTGACAATGTTGAGTCTGAAAAGCTTATACCCAAGTCATCAGGACAGTCTATTGTGTTGGAGGACACATCAGATGTTTTAACTTCTCATGAGGCCTGCAAAAGCTATGCTGATGATCTTGTAAATAATTCTGGCAAGATTTCTTTAGAAGAAGACCATTTTGATGACATCGATTATTACTCAGATGTATCTCATGATGATCCTGATCACATAGTTGGGATGGGAAATGAGATCGAACTTCAGGCAGGTTATGATTCTCAGTATGAGGATGGGGAAGTCAGGGAGTCTGTTTTACATGCATGGGATGAAGATGCTGGTGAAGAAGGTGAAACGGAGCATGTCGACTATGGATCAGATAACAGAGATGCATATGGCTTTGACTCATGGGCTGATTATCCTGTCTCGATCTCTGTAGAAGCTGAACATGGAGCAGAATGCCAAAATAACGAATCCACTGCTGATGATTCTGTTGATTGTAGTGGAGAACAAGTAAAGGAGAAGACTATGCAAGAACCCAGTAGTCTTCCTGGCATGAGAGGTTCATCAAAGACAGATATTCTGGAAGCAGGAACTGGTAAGAAAGGTGCAGTGATTGCGAAAAAACACTTAAGAGGACAATCTGAACAAGATGATAATTGTAAATTTGAGATGAATGCTGAGGTTGATAAAGACTTGGGTGCCAGTGCTGACAAGGTTATGACGGATAATGATCGTTGTTCCAGAAAAGGTGCTATGAAGGAACCAATGCAATCATTGAGTTCAAGGATGAAATTGTCTGGATGGGATCAGTTACCTGAAGATCATGAAGGTTCTGCAAATATGATAATGGAAAACATAGATGGCTGCTCCAAAAAGATTCCTACCAGTTCTCGTGTTAATGGACTTGATGCTGGAGAATCCAGGAGAGAGTGTCCATCACGTATTGAGGGGCTTACATCTTCTGATCGGTTACCTAGAAAGGATAGAATATGTATACAAGAAAACAGGTATATTATCTGTTTCTTTCCATATGCTTCTTTGTGGTTTTGTCTTTGATCAGTTAGTTAATAGGTTGCTCTCAACTACTTCTGTTTTCAGATCCAACAATCTTGATCATTCAAATCCCAGAGTTGAAAGGGACCCAAGTCCTGCTAAATTGACTGGAAGGGGTGGTGGTTTGTTTCATGTGCATGGAAGAGGGCGAGGAGGTGATCGCTGGGTTGATTCTTCCGCTCATTGGGCACACGGTCGGCATCGTTCTCCCAGTTTTGCACACTCTGGGCCAAAGAACGCTGCAGCAGCAGCAGCTGCAAAGGTGGAGAGCAGTGGCTTTGTTGTTGCTCCAGATGGTACAGTTGTGAAAGCAGGTGGTTTGGGACCCAATGTTCGGGTGCGCAGACATTCTGTTATTGCTTCTTCACAAGGTGTGCACCGATCTTTTATAAGACGAGGATCACCATCTGACAGGGAAGATGCTTTTTGTATGCATATGCGACTTGGTCCAGTAGGAGACATGAGCCCTGATAGGAACCTTACTGTTGGAAGGGGCAGGTCTGGAAGATATGGTCCAAGAGTGGTGGGTACAGGTCTGAGGGAGAAATATCATGGGTCTGGGCCTGATGATTCTTCTATGTGTATGCAACACTCGATAGTCCGAAGGGAACGAAGCTACTCTCCTGTTCAAAGAAGAGAAAGCAATCATCTCTCCCGGTCCCACACAAAATCTCCATCAAGATCTAGGACTCGCTCTCCTCATGTTTGGTCATCATCTCCCAGGGGAAGAAATGGTGGTGGGGTTGGCAGTGGACCAGGTTTAAGAGAACGTAGTAGATCTCCAAATTTCAGGTCTGATGCTAGAATGGTTAGAGGGAGGTCCCCTCATCGGCGGCCTGGATTCTCAACACAACATGAAATAGGTTTTATGACGACATGTAGAAGTCGTGGGTCTCCACAACACTCTTCCAGATGGATTGATGATAGGAAAGACACAGTGGATCATTTTAGGGACCATGGCTACAAGCAGCGGGCCCCAATATCGGAAAGGAGATCACCTGGAAGGATTTTTCCACGGAGTCATAGGTTTGATTCAGTGGGATCTACAGGAAGATTGAAACCAGATGAGTACTATAGACCAATGCATTCAGGAAGGTTTCCTGAAATGGTTGGAGCTGGAAGAGGACCTAGGTATGAGGAAAATGAAGATGATAGAAGGAAAAATGTGGATAGATTTGGGATGTTACATCCTGTAAGACGTTATGATACGGATGGCTCTGTGAAGCGGTTCCATTATGATGCAGAAGATGGTTTTGCTGGGCATAATCTGCACAGTAAGGTTGCAACTGAGTTCAATGGTAGAGGGAGTCCTAAGCACTATGGCAGGAGTATTGATGCCAGGCTTGGGGATGCCCCTAGGAGATCTCGAGAAGAAAAAAGTCATTTCAGATATGATCGAGACTGGAAGTATGGTGCAAATGCCAAGTCATTTCGTATACGGGAGTTTGATGAGGATGTAGCACCTAGAAGACGAATACCTTCTTGATTTTTTGTATACAGTGCCTTTTTCCTTTGGGTGCTTTTGCAGGTCAATATGGAGATGTTGAACCTGGTGAACCTTTTTTTGTCCTGTCAGCAGGAAGGCATCTCAATCCTGCAGTTTTTGATGTTGCAGTGCTTATGGAACCACATTGACTATTATGATTTCTTTTGAAGAATTTTGTCAAAGGCTCTTGATAACCCATACTTTATTTCTTACTCTTTATATATTTTTTTCCTTGTGGCCTAATTTGAGTGATGTAACCTCTCTTTATCAGGCCTTGGAAATATTATCAATCAGTCAAAAATTCAATTTATGCTTTGTCAATCTTGTATCCGAATTATGTTCTTAGTTTCTTTTCTTTTCTTTTCTTTTTTGTTTGTGTGGCAAAGGTGATTATGGGTCCATGAAACTGCACCTTTCTTAACTGATAAAAAAAAGAACCTGGCTTAGCTATCAATTTTATGTCTACAGTTTCTGTTGACTGAATACAATCTTTCTCAATTAGTTTGGAGTCTTTGTATCATATCATATGCATGGTCCATTGGTAATTCCGGCATGCAGTGGTTTTCATAAAATTCATGTCTCTATGGTTCTCAATTAGTTTGAAGCTTTCAGTCAATTTCATGTCTCTATGGTTTTTATCCTTTTATTATATTTGAGGATCATGAGAAATCATCAAACTAGTTGAATGGATACAAGTGGTTTTTAGCTAGACCCTGAGGCTGCCAACTTCTTGGTTGATGGGCTGGCGAAACTGGTTGGAACCAGAAGTCTTTATTGGATCTGGTTGCTGAAGAAGAGGAATTGTAATGAGGTATGGCTACGACTAGCAAAGGCTAGCAGTTGAAACGGGTGCTGGCACACTCGTTGTATTTCATACTTTCTAAAATCTTTGTCAAATCTATCTATAGATAACTTGTGAAATCATTTAGTCAATTATGTTCCTTGACTTTTTTGCAGGTACACCACATTCCTTTGTTGTATTTCAAGTGGAATCTGCTTGTTCCTTGACTTATTTTGTAGTTGCACCACATTTCCTTGTATTTCAAGTAGAATCTGCTTGGAGTTGCCATAAAGATGACAATGTTTGTAAGGGAAAAGCTGATCCATTTGCCCTTTTGTTTCTTTCCCATTGAGATGGTATGCTGTCTAACTGCTTTGATATTGATAAGAAGGTATTTATGCTTGCTATTGTTTTTAGATAATCTTTCCATTGAAATTAGAGCATAATGTGGTACATGGAGTTATGAATAACTTAGTGGAAAGTTTGGAATCCAGTTCTTTCAGCCTACCAAGTTTTTCTTTTTATATTTGATATTTGTTTTGATGAATAACTGAAAATGAATACATTGATGATGGAAAAGTAGAAACCTCATTTCAAATGAAGTGGAAATGAGAATCAATACAAAGAGAAACTACACAGGCCGGGGCTGCCCCATCAAACTACCAATACAAATATACTTCGTTAAAAATCAACCCAATGTCACCCAAATAATAACATCTTCTGTGGTCCCAACTCTTGTCAATCCAAAGGTTATTGATATAGGGCTCCACTTCAACTAGCAGTTTGTGTTGGTTCCCCCAAAACTTTGCTTCTTTAATGTCTAATCAAATATCATGGAGCCGAAGGTCCTAAGATAGTTGGAGAATGCCATGAAACCACCATTTAGCAGTCACCTTCTCCTATCAAATTTGAAAGGTTGAACTGTTGAAAGAGGAATCCAATCTTAAGACCTTGAAGGAGATTTAAGTTGCTAACATCTCAGCTTTCAAGGAATTGTGTGCTCCAACCAGTGTTTTAAAAGCGCAAGGGCCAATTTGCACCTGAGGTGCAAGGCGCAAGGCGAGGTGTGCGCCTTTTTAAGAAGGTGCAAAATTACAAAAAAAAGCTAACAAATAAAAAAAGTCAGAAAATTCCAAAAAAATGTAAAAAAAAATTAAAAAATGCAAAAAATTCAAAAAATATTAAACAGTCTATACTACCTATAAAGAGCGAATGCCTTTTTTTTCTGGAATTTTCATTGGACATTTTCTATCCCTCTTATCTAAGCATATAGTGGACACAAAGAGGGCATATATGTCCTTTACTCTCATTTCAGAAACTGCCCACTTATAACCGTTCAGAAACTGCTCACTTATAATTGTTTAGAAACTAACACGTGCAAATGCACTGTACATGTTTGCTAGTGTTAATAAAAAGTATAAACTTAACTTTTAAAATAAATGTTTTAAAAAAACTATTATCTAAAATTAAAATACATAAACATAACATGTAAAGCGTACTCAAATGAAAATTCAAAAATAAAAGCAAACATATAAAGCATTTTCAAGCATGTAAAACCCACAATCTCTTTTTTTCCTTAATTGCATTGCTTCAAGTAGCTAATATGATATAAAACATATTGCATTCTTGATTCTATGAGTCGCCTTTGTACCCCCTATTTGCTAATGTTGTTTATTCATTCATTGCAATAAAATATCTTCTTAAAAGGCAATGAAAGTTATAAAATCATTATTTTTTATGTGAGAAATAAGAATTTCAGACCCTAACAGACTTGTTCGGGCTTGCCTCGAGGGGCATGGCCAGGGGTTTGGGGGCGGAGCCCCCGGCCCAACCGTTAGACACAAAAAACAGCAAAAAGCGCAAAATTTTGAAAAGGCGCACACCTGGGCTGTGGCGCAAGGCGCATCATGCGTATGCCTAGGTGCACTAGGCGTGCGCCTTTTGAAAGGGGTGCACCTAGGACCTAGGCGAGGTGCATACCCCAAAATGCGCCTTGCTTGTGCGCCTAAGAGCGCCTCAGGCACGCCTTTTAAATCACTGGCTCCAACCAGGTTTGAGAAACTGTGAATTAGTGTTTTAAAAGGCATGGGAGGCGTATGAGGTGCGCCTCCAGGTGAGGCGCCCCCAAGACGCCCTGAGGTGTATGCCAGAGGCATTGACACTGTACGCCTCATATGTTTTATTCATGTGGCATGCTAGAGGCGTATGCCTCGCCTCATGCACACCTCATGTAAAAAGACAGAAAAAAAAGAAAAAGGAAAGAAAGAAGGAAAAAAAAAAGGTAAAAGGAAGGGAAAGGAAAAGAAGGGGAAAGGGGAAGAAAAAGAAAGAAAGAGAAGAGGGGAGGCTTATGCCCCCTTTCAACTAGTGCTATGCATCTTCGTTTTTCTTTTATATAAAAGTTTTTTATTAAAAATAAAGAAAAATGAGATTTTTCTTCCTCTTCTTCCTCTTCATCCCCCCTCCTCTCAAGGAGGCTTTATGCCTCCTTGTGATTGGGAGGCTTACGCCTCTTACGTTCTGAACTACGAAGCCTCATGCCTCTAGGTAGTGGAGCGCCTCGCGTCACACCTCCGCATTTTAAAACATTGCTGTGAATAGTCCATTGTCATCTATTTTCGCCCCTCTTGAGTTTCCGAGACTGTGAGTGTTGATGTTTAATTAATACCTTCTTCTGGGGCTATCCAGAATTGGATTGTTTGTAGCCTTTGTGAAGGCAGCAATAGTGGACTATCTTTGAATTTCTGAATAAAGAGCTCATGGTGTATCCTTTAGATTCTCTTTGGTTAAATCCAATGACCCACCTTTATCTTATTCAAATGCATCAGATCCCCCAAATCTATTTCTTGCTTCAAGGAGTCTAGCATTTTATTCATTTCAAATAATAAAAAAAACAAAAAAAACTGCAGCTGTTGTGCAATACTAAGAATCTTCTCTTGTTTAGTCTGAACTTGAATAACATAGGATTAAAATAGTTCTACCACCGAGTTTTTAATATTGCCAAATTTGTCTTTAAGGTTTAAGAAGTGATTCCATACTTTTAACAAAGGTGCAAGAGAGGAATGGGTGATTAGCAACTTCCTTGCTCCTGGAAGGCTGGAACAGTGCAACATGAGTAATATGTATGAGATCTTGGCTAAGGTGCTCTTAATGAGAATACGAAGGTTCTACCTATCATGACCACCCAATTCCAAGCAGCCCTTTATTCAGGGAACGCAGATCATTGACCATATTCTAATTTCAAATGAATGTGTGGAAAAGAGAAGAAAAATGTGGGATTGGTTTATAAGCTGGGTTTAGAGAAGGCCATAGTTGTCAAGGTGATGCCTAGGCGACTAAGCACTTTTTATTTCTCGCCTCACCTAAACGCCAATCAATTCTATATCTATCTTTACACTCTTACAATAGTTTTATATTTTTATGTTTGGATCACATAATATTAACATAGGCAATGATACACCATAACATTCTTTTTATTACTTCATAAATCAACATGCATTTCTTAGTTTCTTTTTATATTAGGGTTTGAATGATACAAGACCTCTTTACCAAAAAGCGATAATAACTGAAGTTCGTTAAAGTCAAAAGACTTCGAAGACTTAGAAGAGTGAAGACTTAAAGCAACATGCATTTGTGAGTTTCTTCTTCTTCTTCCAGGAGAGAAATACAGGATCAGATCAGCACCTTCTTTTTTTGGGATAAGAAATAACCCTCTCCTTAAATTTCTGATTCTTTTCCTTTCTTTTTTTGGAACAAAAACAGGGGCTCCACTCCTCCTCCTGTTCTTCTTTTGATTTTTCCCTTTTGTTTTTTGAAACTGTCATCATTTTCAACTTTTTTTCTTGCATTTTTTAGGCTGCATTTGGCATTCCTTATACTAAGGACTATCTTTTTTTTTTTTTTTGAAAAAATTTAACCAGAATTCATTAAGAAAAAAAAGAGAGGGAACATGGGGAGATATACAAAGCGGGGGAAGAACCCCTACAAGTTAAGGAGGAAGCTTGTCGCTATACAAATGCTCCAAGTACACACCAAATTTAGCTAGACCATCTGCAGTATGATTGTGTTCCCTAGGAATCCAAACTAAGTTAACATTCAAACAGTCCAAAGAATCCCAAGCTTCAGTTAGATAATGATTCAATCTCCAAGGACCCCCTCTGTGTCTCTTAACCATTTTATTGTATTTGCTGAATCACCTGCAATGATCAAGTTCTGAATTCCCAAATTTTTTATTATCCTGAATCACCTGCAAAGGTAAGTAATACCTGAGATTAATTCCTCCAAGGTTCTGCTTTTATTGTTGAAGAGGCGAATTGTTTCTTTCATCCCAAACACCCCACAACACTGCATGTAGCACTGCTTGTCAAAAGATTTTACCCCTTTTACTTAACCTTGTTCCTTGCCATTGATTCAATGTGTCCATAATGTGTTTTGGAAAATCCCAACTATAACCTGCCATTTTCAAGAAGTGGGACCATATCCTTTGGGTGAAACTGCAATGAAGAAGGATGTGATCTGTAGATTCCCCCTCGCTGAGGCATAGAATACAAACATGAGGAGATATGGAGCGTCTTCCCAAAAGTTTTTTCTGTAGGAGGTTGCAAGTATTAATTTTTTGGAGACAAGCTTCCCAAACAAAGAAGCCAATTCTTGAAGGGATGTGGCTACACCAGATTTTCTTACAAGGAAAAGAGGAATGCTGTTCATCAGCGATCAAAGCCCTGAACATA